AGAGACAGAGACAGAGACAGAGAGCGAGCCAGCGAGCGAGCGAGCGAGGGAGGGAGGGAGCAGAGGGAGAGAGATGTAGATGAGACTACCGGACAGGCAGATGCCGACACACGGAAGAAACAGACACAACATGACACGACCAAGCAGAGACAAGACATGACAAGACAGAAACTGACAAATGTGTGCTACACGGACAGACAGTGAGCCAGCTACAAGTAGCCATGAGGCAGGCAGGCGAGCACAAACACACACGGACGAAGAGACAAGCTTCCAGTTTCAGACAGCACCCAGTGCAATCGTGCGAATTGTGCAGAGCGCGGACAAATTAAATAGCCGTTTGCCGATGACCAAGGTCGAGGTACTCCACCCCGCGTGCACACCGCCAAAGGCATGCCCAGCTCTGCAGCATAGGTCCTGATACAGCCGGCTGTGCTGATCTCCTTTGAACGCGCGCACACAGACACACACACACACATTAAAACATCCTCACTCTACACTCACTGCCTAGAGGACTAATGACGGACTAATTCAACGGACATGCCTGGCCGATACCGGCCTCGCATAAAATTCGCAAGCGCATTCCGCTGCTGAGACCCCGAGTCGAAACTACAGTCTCCTGGAGCGATCCGGATGGAGCTCCAAGTGCAAGTGATAGAAGCCTGAGTCTCCCAAATCTTCAAGCGGCAGCAAAGATCATTCCTGGCCTCTCATGGGCTGTAGAGGCTCCGGAACCCAAAAGAAACCCAACGTTGCGCCGGGCGGCTAAGATTCGCCTTGACGGTGGCCTGCACCAGGGCTTGAAGTGAACTGCAGCTTCGTTCTGCCGCTGTTGCATTCCTGCTCATGAAATGTCAATCCGGTGTGAGCCCATGGACCTGCAAAGGCAGGCAACTGCCTGTCTCGTGCTTGGGTCTCCATGAATCGTTTGACAAACCACGTGGCCGTTGCAGAATGAACCAGTGAACCTCCCACTTAAACATGCGGCAGCCAGCAAGCACCAAGAAGAAAACACTCGCTATACAAAGGGGTGTCGAGCAATTGCTCAGTATTCTTCCTCAGGCCTCAGGGAGGCGGACGCTGCAGAAAATGTAATCCTTAGTCGGATCTCCGGCTGTGGATTCACTCAAAGCGACGCTCATCACAATTATGCTGCCCGTCTTCCTCCTGCACAAGCAGTGGCCGCTCTATCAGCTTCAGCTTAACGACCACTAAAACTATCACCAACATCGTCATAGTCATCATTACAAGCGTCGTCATCATCATTATGATTATCATCATCATATCATCATCAACCATCAGGCTAGTCAACCAGCGATTTCTGGGCAACCTCAGCCAAGTTGCAGTCGGTCTGTTTTCTTTCCGATGCAGAGGCTTACCGTCGTCACCATGCGCACCATCACTATTTCACCATGCCATCATCATCATCATCATCGTCGTAGTCACAAACGCAAGTATCAGCACTTCTTTACAAGTTCATTCCCTGTGCAAGCCCAGGTGCGCCACCAGAAGAGGCACCGAGGCGATATTCCAAACCGGCGTCAGTAAGCCTTCACCAGCCAACAGTTGTGGGCTGGCAAGAAACGGGAGATGCCGTTGGAAAGTTGGAGCACTCGTCAGTTCTCGATGCACCTGCTTCCTGAAACCTCATTCAACTTGGCTCGTGCTTGCATTTGAAGTTCGACCTCCCGCCTGTGATTCACTCTTGCCGGGACACGACATATGGGGGACCGGTGTCGATAATGCTACTCCCGGCACTGACTGCTTTTGGATCTTCGGGCTGGCAACCTCTCATTCTGCGTTGTCTCCTCAACCAGGGCACGATTCGAAGCTAGCGGACCATGGCCATCAGGCAGTCAACAGCAGAACGTAACAAAGCATGCTAAGGGCCGTGGCCGTTCTGGTATCCCGTGATCTTTGGGATAGTTGCAGACTTTTGTTGGATGTCTGTGCCTCTTCAGCATCTCACTGCACGGCAGCTGCTGAGCCGGCTTCCATGTCATCCGCTCAAGCGCATCTGCAACAGCCTCCGCCAGGGTCGGCGCACGTTTTGCTTGGCGGCTTAGCGGTTTCTGGCACGGGCCTGGTGCTTGATGCCGACCCCTGTCTTTCGATCGGTACCATACTCCTCTTCGGGAAAACCTACCGTTGGACCAGCTGTTGAACCTGCCAACTCTTGATTTTCAAGCTGCATGCAAAGGCCCAGAATTCACGTTAAATCTGCCGTGTGGGACGTCTAACAAATTCGTCTCGAATAAAGGCTGCATAACATGAGAAGGAAAACAGTCTGAAGGCAGCGAAAGAACAATGCATATAAAACACACCCCTCCACTCTCAGCTCACGTGCTCACACGAGTTCAGCCTCGGCCCAGCCTCAAACGAGGATGCCAGCTTTGTTGCTTACAATTGTAATGTCGGCGCAGTTTTGCCAAATCTGCCGGGTCTCTTCGCAGTCCCAGCGCCAGGAAAGCAAGTAGTCTCCAGGCTCGAGGTCTGCAGGCACTACCACCAGGTCCATGATGCTCCAGTCCCATGTCTTGTTCTCAAACGAAGACAATCCCGGTAGTGGCTCCGGGAACTGGGCCGTGCCTGGCGGGCATGATGAGAAGTCTGAGACGTGTGACCCATCGCACATGGCCGAGCAAATGTTCCACTTCTGCCATGCCTTCGTGCCAGGTGGTGGGCCGGCCTCTACCGCAGGCCCGCATGTCTCATACGTTGAGCACATCCGGCACGCCGGCACCGGGTTTCGGGCCCATTCACTCCCTGCTGGATGGGTGCCGATGCTCACTGTCGTTCTGGGGAATGCTGTCCGTGAGCCGTTCACAAAAGCGATCCAAGAAGTGTTGCCTGCGAAACGAAGTGGAGTTCGCTGGAAGCACTCCTCGGAGACGTTACCATCGTTCCGGCACAGTCTGTACGAGTACCCACCCCCGTGGTTCGCGCTGATGGCCCACGCTACCTCCACCTCAGTTCCGCGGGCCCAAACGTGGCTGGAGACCTTCGGGAGCATCAGGCCATCTGCACCCTGAGGGTACCCAGGCGGTGGATTGCCAGCACCTGGATAGCTGTAGGGCCCGCCGGCTGCGACCCCGCAGCCGGAGCCGAGGACCGGTGTCCGCCCCGGTGCTCGCCACGGAAAGCTCCGGTACACGTCTTCAGGACCTCCGGAGATGTTCACCTCAACGGTGCGGGCGTAGTCGGGCAGTGACGGTGGCGCAGAGCTCTCAACCAGGTTCGAGAACCACATGCACTCGCCCGTGGTGCAGCTGCCCCCACTCTTCAGCGACCCGCCGTGACGGGTGGACGGAGGAAACGACAAGAGCCCATGGCTGTCAACTGCTGGAAGAAGTGCTGTGAGGATGACAAGGCCTTGGGCCATCATCCCCATCACGTAAAGCAAAACTGGGACCGAGCTACCACTTGAGCCCGAAACACTCTTCCGAGTGGTGTCTGCACTTGACTCACCCCGTCAAGATTGGCACATCGCTACCAACCCCAAGGAACCCCTCGGGATTATGCTGTAGAGACACGGAGATTCACACCCAAGCCCAATGCAGCAGAGCTCACGAGCAAATCTGTGCGATGCACAGGGCCTCCGGCAAGAAGGCTGGAGAGTGCGCAGGATGATCTGAGAGGGGGAGGTCCTGACAAGATCTCATCAACACCCTCCCTGCACCAGCTTGCGCGGGGTAGAATTGTCCGATGAAGAGCTATCGTGTGCGTGGAGATCCCTTTGAACAAGAGCCTGCTTAAGGGAGCTGCTTGCTCCCAGTCATTCCTTACAGTCCTTACAACCCATTGCCAATGCAAGATTGCAGGACAAACTGAACACCCGAAACCGTGAGCAACGGCATTGTTACAGAGGTTCTCGTAAAATCCGCGAGAGAAGCGAAGGCTCTTCCTCCAAGGACCAGGATCTGGCACCATCCCCTGGTCGGATGCGCAGCTGCTGGATGCCAGTCAAAGAGTTCTTTGCCTGAGAGTACAACACTGTACGCCTTCCGGCAAACCACAGAGTGAGCACTTGAAGGAGACTGCAGTTTCGAAGTTCAGGCCTCCGCCAGATGAAGTGATACAAACGACTTTAGAATTCTTCGCTTCTGTGCTGGCTGAAGATCATGGGAGACACCCATGGGCAAGGCAGAGGCACGAGCAAGGAACACTTTTGTTGCGTGAGAGATCAGCCGCTCCTAGCCGCTCCCAGCCTCGAAGACCAAGACCAGCGCGGGCCCCCAATCCTGCAACGCTTTTGCGCTCCGCAGTTCATGTGAAGAGCACGGCTTGTGAATGCGCATAGAGCCGAGACAGCGCAAGTGTACAGCAAGGCCAGGATCCGGCTGTCGGCTTGCATGTGTCAGAGCCCCGACTGACGGCGTGTGCAAGGCCAGCACTTCGACTTACTGCAGATGCTCGACAAACGAGAAACGAGTGCGCGCAAACCCCAACCAACACACACACACAGAGACAGAGACAGACACACAGTTTTCGCCGTTTCTACAACCACAAATCAGGGCGGTCATATCAGAGATGCGACTTCCCGTGGCAACTCTGAAGCAGCTATTGGAGGGTTCAAGCATACAAGCGACCCCCCCCTTCCCCACTCTAGGCTCTAGTCGGGTCCCCATCTGCAGTTTCCAAAGGTGTCCGTGGCGAAGCGGCTTCTTGCTCAGAGGACCGCGGGCTCAGCGACTCCTGCGACTATTGACTCTGATTCCCGGATTGGAACTTGGGATGCAGAAACAAGCCACGCCCTACACAAGCAGTAAACGGCTGAGTCTCCGATGTTTCTTCCGACAACGGGCCTCGGTACATGTGGCCATAGGCCCCAAAGCAGAACGACGAATCTTCCCGACAGAATCCTGCCTTCACCCGGCTCAGTCTCTGCAGCAGCCGCTGTGGGACGCGTGCTCCAAGCAGGGCCAGCACCTCTGCAGGCTGCAGGAGATTTCCGCACTTCCGCGCCTCTGCTTGAGTAGTGTTGGAGTTCAATTGATCGGGGACGAGACCCGAAACCCTAAACCCTAAACCCAAAACCCAAAAGCCTAAACCTCTGCAGGAATGCTTCAAACTCACGACTGCCATACATAATGAGCACTCCCGCTTCCTAGGGCAAACCTTGAAGTCCCCACCCCTGAAACATTGCTCTGGGATTAGGTTGTGAGGCTCGCTGAAAACTTCTTGCGAACCCATTCGTGTCAGAGAAGGGCGCCGTCAGCCCGACCAGCAGCCCGCGAGGGGCAAACACCACGAAGGTCACTGCAGCACCTGTGGGAGTTCGAGCATATGGAAAGAAGCCTTCCAAGCTGGAGTCTTCCGAAACTGGCTTGCCGACTATCCCTCTCTCTCTTTCTTTCGACAGGGTTGTGGCGGGGAGTTGCCTCCCCACCGCGCGAGTGCGCTCCCATCTGTTGCGGGTACCAAGATGTTTCCTGTGAACTCGCGAAGGCATGGACGACCGCAAAATGGACCTATGACATGAAGCTGCAAGTACGTGACAACTATTCATAAGGATTCGTGGTCCAAACACTGAAGCATCGGTCTCGAGAAGTGGTAGAACATGATCGGTTAATTAAAGCAATCCATACAAGAAGGTCAAACAAAACGTCCCTTGCTCTCTCTCTCTCTCTCTCTCCCCCTCTCTCTCCCTCTCTCTCCCTCTCTCTCCCCCTCTCTCTCTCTCTCTCTCTCTCTCTCTCTCTGTCTCTTGCTTTCTCTGTCTCTCTCGCTCTCTCGCTTGCTCTCTCTCTTCTTCTTCTTCTCCAGGGCTTGGGAGGCTGTTTAGGCCCCCCGGCCACTAGGGCCCCGCATGTTGTTATGGGGCTTTGAGGAGGCGTGAGAGCAAGGTTTGACGTGGCCCCCGGGTTAGATAAGTGAAATGTTACGCAACACCGGAATCTAATGTGCATGATCATTTCCCCCGGGTTCACACGTTTACAGTGCGACCTTTTTTTTTTCCTCTCTCTCTCTCTCTCTCTCTCTACCGGATTAAGAGGAGCAGCGGCTGCTAACCCCCCCGCACGCGTGCACGCACCCACGTGTCCATGCGGGGTTTTGGAGGTTCCGAAGAAGGGGTTTCTCTCTCTCTCTCTCTCTCTCTCTCTACCGGGACAGGAGAGGCGGGCGAACCCTGACCCCTCCGCGCGCGGACGCGCACCCGCAGGTCAAGGCGGGGTTGTCAGAAGTCCCCCAGCGAACTATGCCCACTGGCGGCTCGGCTGTACGAAAAGCTCCGCAAGAGAAGTCCCCCGCAAGTCTGCACGGACGAAAGACACACGTCACTGACCCAACAAGGGGTTTCTCTCTCTCTCTCTCTCTTTCTCTGTGCATGTTGCCTGTTAGCCCTCATGTTCATGTCGGTCGTGTCGTTGGCAGGCAAAGCTCATGGACATGGCCTTCGAGAATTTCGATCGAAGAGGTGAAACACAACGCGGCAGACCGCAACCCTGCTGGCCTGAGCGCTGACGCGAGCGGTGTTCGCTTGCCCGTTGTGGGTTGCTCGCAGGTTTGGTTGGATCTGGAGGTCCCAAGCGTCTAGCCCAAAGTCAAACGTTGCACCCCACCTAGCAGCAAGAGCCAGCGCCGCGTCTCGGATCTGGTGTCCAGCTGCACCATTGCTTTACTGATTATCCGGCTCTTGAGTAGGATCCTGTACCGGCGTGTTTGGGCCCACGATGCGATGTGCGATGTTGATGCACCCTCTACCACAAAACTCTCAACCCAGATACCCTAGCGAAAGGCCACAGACATGAAGATGAACGCTGATGAGATTCCTGCCTGGACCACAACCATACAGCCCGAAATAGCGGCTGACTCCCTCGCATGCCACAAGACAGCCACAAAGCAACTTTGGCTTCGGGCTTGAAGGCCGCATATTTCGGGAGATGCTGCTGCATCTGATTCCATGCCCCACACTGATACAAAGGGGGAGCATTGGCCCCAATGCCCCAGCCACCTTTGCGCTCTTCAGCTCTCTGCCCCGGGCGAGGTGTGGCACGGCCGGCGGCCCCAGCCAGGACAGGACGTCCATCAGCTTGCCTCAGAGATGCCCAGAGACTCAAGCCCGGAGATACAGAGCATCTTCGGTCACAGAGCTACCAGTACCATCCCAATGCATGTCCCGGCATCTAATGAGTTGTTCATGCCTGAGTACGAATGCATGCGTCGACATTTCGATGGGGAGGCTGACAGGAAGTCTGGCTCGAGACACGACGCAGTATTTTGGAGGTTGGAAGGTGACAGTTGTTGTTGCAGCGAGCATGCCATGTCCGCACCCGAACCGCAAAGCATGGAATCTCAGCATGAATCAGCAAGCATCAGGACAGTCGCAGCTAGCTGCCGGATTGCCTTGCGACACAACCACTTCCAAACATACTGCCCGCAAAAGCCCCGGGCGGAAGCTACTCTGCTTGTCCAGGTTGGCCCTCTCCAAGTGCCAAGTCTCTTATGCGCACGCTCTTTGGCACATCGCCTTCTGGTAGCAGGCGCAGAACCTTCCATGGACCCGCTTTGGAAGCTTGTACGTCTCCCTTGGTCCGACAGCAACAGGCATCGGTATAGGCACCTATATGATCCATCATGATCCATCCAAACCAGACAAGAGACTTGAAGCATCGAGTGAACCCTTTTGCTCAGAAACAGCAGTTCGACAGCTAGCCCGAGGCCCAAGGCAAGTGCCCGAAGCCCGCCTGATCCAAGAGCGCTGCTCGCAAGTTCGGCAATCGCTCCTCCAAAAACTCACAGCTTCGCGAGTCTTGGAACCGTCGCAACACAGCATATTGGGGCTTTCATGTACAGGAAACTCGCGTTTCTTGCTGCCGCCACGCCTGCAACTCTACTCGCCACTGCATCCCACCTTCTACGCTACGTCAACTAAGTCACCTGATGTTTGACCAAACTCTGGTTGGAAGCCCAAACGGACCGTGTAGCGGGCGAAGTCTTCTCGAAGCTGGTAGAGAAGGTCCTTGCAAAGCACCACAGCAAAACAGGTCGCCTACGAGGCTTGAGATGAAAAGCAAAGGCGCCCCGCGGCCCCCTGCGGCCTCGGCCTCGGAGGAGGTCACGGGCGCCTCACGCTCCTGGGGACATCCAAAGAGCGACGAACAAGGGGAGCAGCCAGCTTCATCCTATGGATGTCCGGAAACTCGACGCTATTACCGACGGTGAGACCTCATGATTCTCAATGGGCTTACTGCCGTGCTCATGATCGCTGACTTCAAGTGTGACCGCGCTGGAGCAATCCAGGCATAGGCAGGCTTGGGGGCATGGGCATAGGCAGGCATATTTATTGAAAAACACACTTCCCTCGAAGAATAAAATAAGTTTCAGGACCCTTTTAAACCCTAAACCCTAAACTTTAAACGCTAAACCCTAAACCCTCAAGAAAGTCAGCTGGCAAATAGTCGGGATTCAGGCTTCGAGATGTAGGGAATCCGAGGCGTGTCCGTTTTCAATCCCTTGGCCACATCTCTATCGTCTTCTTCTATTGGCAAATGCGGTCAAGGACGGAGCCCCCCACAAGCCCCGTGCGCAGAGCGCCTCGAAGAGTCTTTTCACGAGGGCCGAGCTCTGACCTCTGAGTAGCGCTTGCCTAAATAATGACGTCCAAGCCTTGTCTGCTCGTAGCTCAGAGGCTCAAGCATGCTGAAAATAGTGATAGCGAGACGGTGGTCTGATTCCGCATTAGGCCCTGCAGCATGGTACCAGTCGGATTCAAGCTTGCGGTAAGGAACGTACAGCATACTCCCGCCAACAGCGATGCCTGTAGGACCAACCAAGCGCGTAAACAGTATGAACAGTAACATGCGTCCGAACGTTACACAACAGGAAGTTGCACTCACACTACCAAAATCCAACACAAACAGCGAACAGTCTAGCTTCAACCCCGAACTCAACAAACGCTAAGTGCAAGTAATCAAAGGCTAAAGACGCATGATCATGACTTGACACAGCACTTGGTACAAGGACTGATGCTGCTGAAAGGATGATCTGCTACTCTGGACCATGCATAATACAAACGCAAGATTGCAGAAATCAGACAGACGTAGCAAGAGTAGCAAAATCACGTGCTTAACGCATCGCCGAAGCCTCGGCCGAGCGCCTCGGCAGCGGCCACCGCGAAAGAGTGCCGCTCAAGGTCGCCTCCGTCGGCAGATGCAGGTACAGAGCCTTACAAGGCATCCCAATATCCAATATGGTCCAACTATGGAGTCCTGTGTCCTCTGTATCTCCCCAATAAAGGCCGCGTGTCTTCCGCACGTTGTAATGCGACTGCAGCTCGCATCTCCCTCACGCTGGACCTAAGCTTTGGAGTTCTGAAGTTTTGAGGCATCTGCAGCTTTGAGTTTGAGTTTCGTGCGTGCCAAATTGAACAGAGCTGATGGCTCCGAGTGTTGCCAAAGATCTGGCAACACTGCACTGTGTCAACGGCATTTTGCTGAGACGACTTGGGACTTCGGTTCTCGGTTTTTCTCCAGTTGTGAGGCATTTTCAGGAACCCTCCATGGCCTGGGCCGCATAAAGTCGAGACTGATTTCGCCTCGCGAAGCTTTCGCCTCAGCTCCTGTCGACGGCAGCACAGCTTGGAAGTGAGGGCCAGTGCTCTGTTCGCGCACACCGCACATGCACACAGGCGTGTGCGCATGTGTATGGCGAATGCATGCGCAAAAGAGACAGAGAAAGAGAGAGAGAGAGAGAGAGAGAGAGAGAGAGAGAGCGGAAGCGAAAATACATACATACATACCTACCTAAGGACCTACCTACCTTCCTACCTACCTACCTACCTACCTACCTACTTACCTACCTACCTACCTACGTAC